CTTTCCCTATGGTCCTTAACACTTCATCATGAACCCCATAAGTGTTCTTGAGCACCTACTATGTGCCAACTCATACATGCATGGCTATAAGAACCATACAGAGCAAAATCCATTGGTGCCAAACACAGCAGACTTCAATCCACCAGTGCTATATAGGACTGTGGTAGACAGTCCATTTTTCCATTTGAGTGGAAAAAGTAGTCATCCTTGCACTGGATACTTTTGAAAATGGTCTTAGATAAAGATGCATAGAAATAAATAGGAGAACAACATTCCAGCTCAAGTAACAGTTCTTCTGGGATGGGTGAGAATTGTTTTTTCACCTACCAGTTTGGTTTCATCCCAGGCCCACCTTCTCACCTCGACCTGTAGGTTCACCTCTCCATAACTTGGTTCATCTTGCAAGATCTGTGATGGGACCTTCCTGGAGAATGGGGACTTTGTATCTTTGTATTCCCAGCATCTGGTGCAGCATCTGGTGCAGCATCTGGTATATATGCCAGGAACTCAATGAACGTGTAGGAGATATACAAATTACCTGTGGTTACGGGTTCTGAAAATGGTAAGGATACAACATATGGGAAACATTGGGAAAGGAATCATGTGGGGTTATCATGTAGAAAGTGGTGACTTTGTTGTGGGGGACAGATGTGAAAGAGAGAGCCAGAACAGCAGGGTTTGAATCCCAGCTCTGTCACCCAGCTGTGTAACTTCTCTGTGCCCCAGTTTCTCCATCTGTAAAATGGGGACAATCATAGAACCTACCTCATGGGGCTGTTTTGTGGATTAAATAAATTAATATGTAAAGTGCACCTGGCCAATTAGTAATCACCATAGGAAGAAAAGAAAGAGATAAAAGAGAGTTAATCACATGTTGTAAGCCCAGGTGTTTGGTTGTCAGGGGTTATGTAGAAAGTTTGGTGTGGTTGAGTGGGGAAATTGGTTCATACTTCTGCTCACAAGCCTTCATGAACCACCATGTAAAATCTACTCTCATCTCCTTAGTTATTGAGCCCTTCCTTCATTCATCTGAATGTACCTTGTCCCACCTCTTCTCACTTTCTAGGTTGTCAGCTCTGGGGAGTCCAGTCTCTGGGTCTTCAGTGTGTTAAGGCTCATTTCCTTTCCTAGGACCACCTTCCTCTATTTGTCTTCTGCTTCAAACTTCATCCTTTCCTCTGAAGCCTACATTACTTAGGGTCTGTGTCTTATAAAACAGCAGTTATAGTCTGTCTTCTATAGTTTGCCATCATTTTATTTTCTTTTACCCATTTAACTTGTAGTTTTAAAACATCTACTTGGTACGAAGCATTAGGTAGGAGAGGAACTGGGCCAGTCTGGTGCTAATTATGCCCCTCCCCACCTGTCTTGAGAGTGGGGAGCTTACCTTATGCCCTGTCTCAGCTGGGGTCAACTGAAGACTAAGTTAAGGGCTTTGGTACAGTCTGTTTATTTTGGGAGACAAAATCCAGCGGGAAAGGCTTTGAGATCATCTACTTGTAGGAAAGTAGGAAATTGTGATTTACAATATTGATATTGTGATATTGTGATTTACAATAAGGAATATATATTTGGTCTTTGACCCTTTTCCTGGCACAGAGCTCCTAAAACTCTTGGAATTTCCCAAGTGATAAGAGCCATGAAGGTGTCTTTTGTTATCCTTAAACAATCCCCTTTCAACCACACCTGAGTTTGTGCTAGGGGCTTTTGGAAAGCTCCTAAGAATGGGCTGGTTGTCGGGGGAACCAACCAAGTGATTAGAAGGTAGGAACTTACAGCCCCTCCTCACCTCCTGGGAGGGGAGAGGAACTGGAGATTGACATAATCTACAGTGGCCAATGATTTAGTCATTCTTGCCTATCTAATGAAGACAACAACAACAAAAATCCCTGAACTGTGGGGTTTGGAGGGTGCTGGGAGGGCACAGGAACTCCACGCCCCATTCCCCATACCCTGCCCTGCGTATCTCTTCTTCTAATTGTTCACTGGTATCCTTTAACATCCTTTGTAATAAACTGATAATCCAGTAAGTAAGTTGTTTTTCTGAGTTCTGTGGGCCGCTCTAGCAAATTAATTGAACCTGTGGAGGGGATCGTGGGCACCTACTATTTATAGTCAGTCCTTCAGAAGCACAGGTGATAACCTGAACTTGCAACTAGTGTCTAAAGTAGGGGGGCAGGGGGAGGCAGCCTTGTGGGACTGAGCCCTTAACCTGTGGAATGTGATGGTGTCTCTAGGTAGTGTCAGAACTGAGTTAAATTGTGGGGTACTCAGTGTCTACAGAGAGATGGAGAATTGCTTCCTGAGGGTTCCACTCTGCCCCTCACATTCGGTGACCAGAAGTGAAGCATTCTGTGATTAGAGGAGCGACACAGGAGTGTACTTGTGTCTTTCTGTCCTTCCTTCTACGAGTACTTATCGATCTGCCTGGTACTACCTCAGACATTGCTAATAATAATAATGACAGCTAATATTTGTACAGAGCAGTGGTTCTCAAAGTGTGCTTCCTGGACCAGCAGTGCCAGCATGTCCTGAGAACCTGTTAGAAATGCAAATTCTTGGGTACCATCCCAGACCCATTGAGACAGATACTCTGGGATGGGGTATAGCTATCTGTATTTGAATAAGCTTTCTAGGTGATCCTGACCCGTGCTAAAGTTTGAGAGTCAGTGATGGGGCACTTGCTAGTTGCCAGGCAGCATTCTAAGCATGTATTTATTCATATATTAACTCATGTAATCCTCACAACAACCTTATGCTGTATATTATTATCATTTTGCAGATGAGGAAACTGAAGCACAAAAGTCACACAAACTATAAGTGGTAGAGCTGAGATTTGAATCCAGGTTATCTGGCTCTAGAATCTCTGCTTTTTTGT